TTTTTGTGCAGAGAGCCGTCTGCGTGTTATCTTTTATGTTTGCATGCTCATTTCCATCTGCAGCACATCCGCAAACATTCACAGCTCTTCACTTTTTCCATCTTTTGTTGTGTTGCAGCAGAGGTGTCGAACTCTGCTACTTAAAGAGTAACTTACCCCAAAAATAACTTTTTTTAGCTGATAANAGATAAAGCTCTCCTTTTTTAATTTAATTGGCATATTTTTAATTGAATTTATTTATTGGTCCATTTATGTACAGTATTTCTGCTTTTTTTTTCTGGTTATGTCAGTGTCGGTCCTCCATACTGCAGAACTTGGTCGAGGTAATTCAGTGTCTGAATCAGGTGTGTTGGAGCAGGGAAAACATAAAACCTGTAGGGCTGCGGCCCTCCAGGACCAGGATTGCCCACCTCTCTGTTAAATCAACATGTTTGTGCTCTTGAAACAATCACAGCCGAGGCTTAAAAGTTTGTGAATCTGCTGTTTTTAGTGTTGCGAGCTGAATATTATAATATAATATGATATAAATATTAATATAAAACCAAGACGAACAGAAAACTGCCTCGGTTTTGTTGATACCAAGCGTGATGACTGAACTGTGCTGACTTAAATGAAGTGAAACACGTGGAGCTGTGGGATGTTGGTGGTTTACTGTCTCCGTTCTGCTCTGTTGGCAGATGTTTGAACCACAACGCAGGCTGTTTGTGGGACATGTCCGCCTTGTGCTTTTACGTGACGGGACAGCTGACTGCACTCAGTGACAGGTTAGGTTTCACACTTTAGGAAGCCTCGACTTTAGCTTCTGTATTTTATATTTCCAGTTATCATAAGTGGGTTCTGTCCTGTTTTAAGCTGCACTGATGTAATTAGAAATTGATGGAAGGAGACACAATTTTTTTGGCAGACATGTACCACACACTCACCCCAATGTAACAAAGCTGCCATTTAAAAACATGTTTGTATATGTTTATTAAACAAACGTACAGTACAGTATTAACATATTTCATGCCAGTGTTGTATAAAGTACCACAAAGTGATACTTGAGTAAAAGTAGTATCTACCAAAACATTACTTTGGTAAAAGTTAAAGTCTCGTATAGGATTTTATCTTGAGTAAAAGTCTTAAAGTACCTGATATTTTTTACTTAAGTATTAAAAGTAAAAGTCTTGATTTAAAAAGAGCAGTTAGATTTTCTGTAAGGACATTTATTAGGAGGTGACCTCCCCAAAAACTGCAGAAATGACTGTTGTATTAAAA